TCCCAAAACCCCAAAACCCCAAAACCCCGTATAGATAGATTACAAGGAGAATTTGGAAAATCAATTATAAGATAAATTCTATTAAGTAATATTTTTAGCAATCTAATTATTAAATTCTCGATAATCTAGTCGAATTATTTCTAAAAAAGGCTTTCTAAGACCTAATTTTCTTATTACATATTACTTATGCATTACTTTATATGCATATGATTAATTATAATCTGAATGAGTTATACTAATTTCTATTCTCATTAGATTTCATTTATGTTCTGTTTAACTTAATTTTAAGTCTACAAAGTTAATACATTCTTCAATCCTATCAATCGAAGATTATTAACATGAGGCTTTTACAAATCTTCACTAAAATATTTTAATCTAGTTTCCTAATTAGGTATAGATGAATGCTCATTAAATGTATCTTCATGAATTAAATCTTCATCTTGCATAGTAAAGCTAAATATCTCTTACGGATCATCATAATTTTTAATTTATTCCTGATGATCTTTTTAAGCATCTACAATTTCTTCTTCTTTTATAAAATTATTAAAAGTCACTATCTATAATTGGACTGCATCAGCAATTTTAAATTCCTTATTTGAATTCTGGTGATCTAAATTCTATCGCATGTTAATCAAATTTAGCTTGATAACCGAGGGGACTTATAATTTACCATATTATTTTTATTTGGGGGGGCTCTGAGACCTCGCACTACTATTTTATTATTTAATTTTTTTAGGTTTCTAAACTTTCAGTTATCCCTCAATTCTTTTACAGCTGGTTTGAAATCATTTTTATTCTATTTACTCAAAATTTTATATATTGACTTCATTGCTACTATTAGCTTTCACTGTAAGACTTTCAATTTATATCCCAGAATTTTCAAGTATTTTATCCTGTTATGATTGCATATTAAGCAAATTAAAATTAGAAAGAAATGGTGAGGTAGACTACTATATGATATTTTTTTCCCAAGTAGGCTCTATGTGGTCCTCTATAAAGATTAAATTAAATATAGTACATTTTGTTATTAAAGGACTGATAGGATAAAAGTACTCGGCTGAAAATATATTCTTTTAATTTTCACATTTAGTTGATTGATTCAAACTTACTTGATTCTAAGTTAATGAGAGAGTTTGATTTTAAGGTTTTCCTTTTATTTTCGAAGTAAGTTATGATAGTTAGCAGGTTTAATAAACATTTTAATCATATATTGAGGGAGCTGGGCTTATCTCTCTTTTTCTTTCTAAGTTATTATCAAATTTTTAGAATAGAATCTCGAATTCTTTGAATTTTTTAACCCAATTTACGGTGAATTTTGTCCAGTCCATAACCCATAAATGCTTGTTAATTTTAATTCTCAACAGCTGGTTATACAAGCTATCTAATATCTAATTGTAATCAGGCTTCTAATCAAATAATATTCTATCACAATATTTGATTAGATTCCTAATATGACCTAAAGAATTAAAATGAACAAATGAATGATTAATACAATTGTGATTTTTCATTTTTAGCAAATTATGGAATTCTTGTTTTGATTTTCTCACTTATTCAAAAGTCTGCTTCTTATAGGTCCCATCCTATTATTTTACTGTCCATGGAAGCTACCCTTCTTTTAGGAATAGCAGCAAATAAAATATAGAGAGCAGATCATCCTTTCTGGATGGACCTAAAATTGAAACTATTAGATGCCAAATAAAATTACTATGTCCAAGCATTTGATATACGCTACTAAAAGCAAAATTCCCATTGAATCTTTTTTGTCTCTCATTTTTTATGTGTTTATTATTTTCTCCAATATAAGTTTCTGATGCGCTGAAATCGATTAACGCGAAAAGAGATGATTCTGGAGACTAGAGATCAAAGCTCCTTATTAGAATATTATCTGGCTTTATATCTCTGTGAACAAAACCTATTTAGTGCAACTTCTTTATTAAATTGATCTAAAAGGTTTTAGAACATTAAGGACTTTTATACCATCTAAATTCCTATTTGAAGAACAGTCTATAATGAGACACCATGCTTAGAATGATGCAATAATTTCTTTAGTGAAGGTCCAAGCACTTCAATAGCTAAGTAACTCTTGTTGTCCTTGCCGTAGCCTGATGATATGTATTTGGGAAAACCTAAACTTAGATAAATCAATAAAATAATATACCAGGAGATAGGTCCCGAGACAGCAACTAATATATTAACTATTCATTTTCAAAATCTTCACTTATATCAGTCTAAATCAAATGAGAAAATGATAGTTATTACAATCTTGATAGCGCATTTTTATTATGTTTAGGAATCAACTGCTAGCCAGACGCAGCCTGATGCACCCGAACCTATTTCCCTAATCAATTTAAAACGATTTTCTGTCATAGAAAATAAATAAAAAGAATTATTAGATTTGATTTAGGTTTATAAATTAATTAGTCTGAACAAAAGTAAATTATTAGATCACTTTTTAGTCAAAAAACTTTCCAAATTTTTTAATTAATTTCAAACTTTTAATAGCGATAAATTTTTCCCTTATGGGGTTTTGGGGTTTTGGGGTTTTGGGG